ATTCCCACCAAACGCAGATCATGACCTTTTTGAGTGAAGATCTTGCTTGATTCTGAACTTCGGCGTTTCCCTAGGCCACCTACTCCTTTCAGTAGACGCACCTAAGACACCCTCCCCGTACACACTGCATATGTCCCGAGCGGCTTCGGCTGCTTTTCGACTTAGATGAGAAGCAAAGAAAAACCGATGTTGAAAATGCTAGTTTTTTCCTCCTGGATATTCCATTTCTGAGCCAGAAAGAAGGCGAACAATTAAATTATCCAAAAGAACAAGTAAAACATTCTTGTAAAGGAGAAAGAGCTCTTTCGAATGAATGTGTACACTTAGCTAAAAAACAAACAAATCGTTGTAAAATAAGTCTAACGCAAAACTCTACTAACTTACATATGTTACAGCCCAATAGATTCCTCGTTAGATTCGCGAGCAAATTTTGGAATAATCCAACCCAAACTCCGAAAGGTAGGGTAGTATGGGTAGATAGTGCCAGTTTCTACGCTAGTTGGAGTAATATGAGGCTCAACTAGAAGGGGTGCACATAAATTTATCCATTTGAAAGAAAAACTGCCCAGATTTCTTCTATGAAAAAGCTATATCGTAACGATCGTACCAAATTGTATCAAAACTGTCTCAGATCACTGAAATGATCACTTGATTTTCGCAGTCTACTGTGGCGGAGCTCAACATGTTGTATGGCTTTTCCAGATACCCACTCTTAGTTTGAGTCGTGGCGCATCCCACCCGATTCAATGGCATCTCTTTAACCTTATTTTGTTCAATGGCATCTCTTCTATTTCATTTTTGTTTTATTCGTGCAAATATTAGCATATTTTTCTCGTATGCTGTAATTTTTGGCTTGTTGCTGTTGTGATCGCCTTACTATTTTTTTTCAAATAGAAAATTAGAGTGAGTTAATTTATACGTGCTCTTATTGATTTGATTGGACGATTTTTCATTCAATAAATTATTTCAATAGCTGTTATTGTTCCACCTGTTGGACTGTAAAAACTACCTGCAGATATGATTACGTACAGAGATTACTTTTCTGAGACATGGAAATCGGAACCAAAACTTTCAGAGGCTATAGAAAGGCAAAAATAGGTCTAAATGACTCTTGATTTATGGTCTTTCTTATCTGCTGGAAAGAGTCAAAACCAAGAGTTTCAAGAAAGTTTCCATACCGCAAGTTAGGAAGCATTTAAACTTACCGTATTCGAGCCTTAACAGCCTCTAGGTAACTAGCGAAAATGCGAACAATCAGCGTCGATCGATTTTGTTCAGATCGCCAGTCGATATTGCTCTTTTTCGAAGCTGAATCCTATCAGGGGTCCATATCAGAAATCGAAATCGAGGAATTTTCCTGATGGTCCTATCCTGATTGATTCACCTATCCTGCTTTTATGCTCACTGATGTGAGGTCCACATAAGGCTTCCCATACCTGATACAACCATCGTGCTGTACATCCTAGACAATCATGAGATGGAAGAGAGCAGTTCAGCTGTAGTAGAATCCCGATGCTAATGCTCTGCAAGCACTACATCTTCTATAAAATAGATCGTACTAATTTGATTTTCACAGTCGCTGAAACTAAACGGTACAAATGAATAAAACGAGAGTCTTGGGTTCATGGGGGAACAGCGCAGGAGCGAGCTTGAAATCCGAACGAAGCCAGTTCCCTCAGCTCAACATTTTGGTAATACTAATCGATACCATACTGTAATACAAGAGATTTTCTCAGGACAAAATACAATTTGTATGCTTTATCTGCATCACAGATAACACAACCCGTGTGGTGTCGGAAGTATTCACACATAGATTTCTTCTAGGCTTTTTCCTACTACAATCAAGTAGTGTGGCGGTTCAGAGGTCTTCTGATCAACACCGTCGTCAGTTAGTCATTGTGTACATCGCCTCTGAAGGTGCAAATATATTGATGTAAATTTTATATAAATAAAAGTTATTCTTTTAATTGAACTACCGATGTTTCACTTTGTCTCATCCGACACTTCATTAACATATCCGAGTGGAGGGAAAGGTATACGAAACACCGGATCATTATTCATCATACCTCGCCGATCGATAAGGCTGAAATTGAAGATAACCAATCAATCGATAAATAGTAGTGTGAAATAGTGATTGAAATCAGGCTTTAAACAAAAGTATAAAAAAAGAGTTCTAGTGGTGAGGCCACGTGTGCATGGAGAAGTGGCAAGTGGCGCAGCTGTAGATCTGGACTGTGTCTGTGGATCGAAATGACGGTCTTCAAAAGCTTATTCAGTCAGGGTAGGCAAAGAAATGAGGTGCTCTATATTCTACGAAAAATCTCTGATTAACTATGGTTACCAAGCGCCAAAGTGGCATTGCTATCCAAAATGAAATCCATGGCGCAATCTGAGGCTTAATTTAACAATGACCGTACTCAAGCAGTTGACGCAAAACTGATGGCTAGAGCCATGCCAGCTTCGAAAGGATTTTCTGAATGTAGGACCAAAGCTGTACCTTAACCCCCCTCGTATTAGTACACAAAAAATTCAATAAAAACCAGAATCTGACGGAAAGAGGAGCGATTCTTCAAATCCATCTGTACCTCGGAGGTTCCGGTCCACAAAGCCTCCAACAACAATTGCGAGCGACTGAATTGAACGAATACGGATTGATTACTTGCTGTGCTCGTCGTTTATTGTTGAAGGTCCCTTTAATCTGAAAAAGTTGTTTTCAATAAAAAAAACTTCATTGATGTTTATCGACTGTTCATGAGTAAACAGTCACGAGGATCCAAAAAACATCCTACAATTACACCAAAAATTGAGCTAATTTTGAGAACCCGCCCCATTTAGGAGAGTAACTAGGGAGGGGGACCTTGTTATCTGATTAAATATATGTACGTAAAAGCAGGCAAAGCTGCTCAGGGGATATCAAACTTTTCAAAAATACATTTAAAAGCATATACAATGACTATATGGACAAACTTACATCTTCATTCGTTGTCTGATTAGTCGCTATTAGGTATGTATGGAATCCGGCTAATCCAATGATTGACCTGAAATAATCCTTGATCGTTTTCTGCATAGCTCATCAATGGCCATTGCATTTGCAACAAATCAAACTGTGAACTGATTCCGGAGAAAAACAACAAAACTATTCCACAAACAATCTCCAAAAAAGGATTCAACTAGTCGAAAACATCAAGATTAAAAGAATGTGGCTAGAAAACTCACCATATTGAAAAGAAGCAGATAATAACGACTACGAGAGATACCGGCGTCTTCTTCACAGCATTCAGAAATTGATCCGATTTCGATACTGAAGCATCGCGATAAATTTTGTTTGAAAATGTAAATATTCATAATTTAAAATGTTGCACTTTCATGGCCCAGTCTATTGAGGTTATTAATAATTTAGGCGCTATAAAAAGGTTCTGCTGGAGTCTCCACGCTTCCAACCGGAAATTCATAATTTCCCTCGCTCCGAGAGAAGAGGGGGTTCGGATTTTGGGCTGTAATGGTAGAATGAAAACACCCCAACAACTGTACGACTACAAGATCTTGTGATTTAGATCGGCTTCCTCCTCGAGCCATCGTTTTTGCGTAGAGGTCTATATCTAGACGGGTGAGCGAGCACATTTCTAATCTCGTATAACGTGTAGCAGTTCTATTTGAGATATATCAGTATCGTAGGGGTCCGATATCGATCAGAGTTATTGATTTTTGAGAAAAGTACTGGAGGAACTGGTAGCAGTCTCTAGTGCTGTTTGCACCATTCGGTAGGGTTGGTCAACAAAAATGAAAATTCCTAGGGGCATTGGTTGTTCATCGAACATTACGATCCACATGCCGAATCTAGACCCAGAATGAAGTGGTTCAACAGGATGCCAGAAAAATGTCCAAAAACAATGAAAAATATCAAGAGCTTTCGAGTAACGTTGATACGATAGGCGACCTCTAAGGGTGATTTATCTGGCAAGGAGATGATGATGGAAAGTTCGTGCTCGTGCTCATATAATTTTTGAAGAACGTGGAGAAGAGTAGAGTGAAAATTGCAAGAATACTGTGATTATTCACTTTTGTTATTGTTTACCGTATGAAATTACTCACACATCAAAAGATGAGCAAGTGAACATGCAAAGAGGCAAATGATGAGCAATGCCAACGATGAGATGAAAAAATAGAAATGCCGATAGTTCCTCTGGCCAATACAGTTGCCTACCCAAGGACCTAAATATTGATTTTGTCGCCTTTACGCTCGTTACAGTAACCTCAAGAAAACTATAAACAACCACAAACTCGATAAAACTTACAGTGATGGTCAAAATTCAGTACACAATTATCGCATACTGAACAATGAGAGCTACGAGGTGGTCGAAATAGGCGGCAAGTAAAGCAGTATTTTAGACGAACAGGTTGACCGTTGATTATTACCTGAAAGGTTGCCATGGATCAAAGGTCAGGATATGTGATAATAACCAATTAAGGTAGTATTGGATTATTTATGTCATGTTCATTAATTTGTTTATGTTTATTTTTTTATTCCATTTTTTACATGTGATTATGACACGAAATATATCTCCTGAACTAGTCGATCTAGCCTAGATAAGGAAAATCAATTTTGATGTTATAGTTGAAAAGCATAACTTAAATGCCCATTTCAAGTCTCCACGACTTCACTTCGGTGTCAGATTCGTGGCGCATCCTATAGGCACTGATCCTAGTTGAAATGTGGCGTTTATAAAGTAAAACTACCGAAAATTGATTGAAATCGCAAAAAATGATGCTAGTCGAACCTGTTTCGTTCTGGGAGGATCTGGAAGAGCGCTCGTATCTGGATTGTAATCGGGATCAGAGATCACCTCTGTAAATGTTACTTTAGCGACAGGTATTTCACTACTTTCACAATTTTTCCCAAAAAAAATTATTGAAAGTTACAATTTATTTACATATTTTCAGACTTTCCCAAACAAACCATTGAAATGTTGTCGTGCACGCTCTGCTACCTCCATATCGGGAGCTCGTGGAAGTATACCTGGATCGCTGAACGATGTTTTCAGTAGACTGACCATCACCAAAAATGATAGTACCGCAGGTAGAACAGGTAACACGGGTGATATTTCATTGTAAAGAAAGGGTGCACTGAAATAAAAACAAACTATAAAAAAATGCGGGAAAAAATCTGAACGGATTTTTTGAAAAAAATGGTTAATTTTGTTGAAAAAAAAAACTAAAAAACTAATAGAAAGGTTAAATCAACTGCCGCAGATCTCTTCGAGAAAAATTAGCCGATGTACAAGTCAGTGCCATTATCGCCCTAGAAGAATCTCGTACCAATCCACCAACCCCGGAAGGTTTAAAGATTAGTTGGCTT